AGGTTCAGTAAGTATAAATGAATCTGCAAATGGAGCTTTTCCTTTGTTTTGATATGCAATACATTCTTTATAACGTTGTTGTTGCTGATTTTGAACTTGATGAATAAAAGATTTCCAATTTTCCTTTGTAATTAAATCTAAAGTATCACGTACAGAAAACCAAGGATGAAATTTTAAAACCCTATCTTTTTGGCCATTTCGCAAAGGTACAAGTCTTGAAAGTTTGCATTGAAAAAGTCCATCATTTCTTTCATTTTTAGTTGTATGATAAATGGTCCATAATCGAAACACAAATACCGATAACGTGACACGTTCATTTTCATCTGGTGAAAGTGCAATATCCAAGGACTCGAGAAGTTTAATTTCTGGGGTTGTACATGGGTTTCGATGTTGTGAATATAATTCATGCAAAATCAAGAAAGGAAGCCTAATTGAATGTTTTCCATCCAAATTCTTATCAATAAAAATGATGTCTTCTTGTTCAAGCTCCTATAAGAGAAATATATATTTAAATATATTTATAAAGGTTTAAATTATACAGTATATCCATACCTCAAATTTACGCTTCTTTTTTGTTCCAATTGATTCTACTCGACTGATACCAATATCAAATAAACTGTATGCTACTAATAATGGAATAATCTCGGTATTTTCTTCTTTTTTAAAGTGATCAAAGTAATGATTATATTTTGAATGAATGATTTCCTTTGTTCTTTTGATAAGAATTTCACAGAATTTTGGATTGTTCTGCAATTTTTGTAAGAAATGGCGAAATCCTGCATAATAGAACTTTTTAATAGTAGTATATTGATGATGATTCATATCAGCATATCCAATAACGCCCATCTGAAATATCAATATTTCTAAAAATCGTCCAACCACACCAAGTAGTTCAATAATATATTCCAAATATACAGAGAGTTCCAAAATACTGTATACAATAAAATATTAGATTTTTTTAAAAAAAAAATGCACTAATTGTTTATAAAGTAAAAATGTAACTTATATAAATTTTACCATTCCGCTGAATCTTTATTCTAATAATATAAACATATTAGTTTACAAATGCTTTAAAGACCATTAGCATTAAACCCCAAATCTTTAAATTACCTGCTCACGATTTGCTAATTCAAGAATAACTTCCTTGGCATGATTAGTCTTTAGTAATGGTAAATAGATTTCTTCAATTTTGGCATTTGTTGATTTGACAGTACAAAAAAGACTGCTTGCATGGGTTCCGGTTAGAACAGGAAAGATAAAGTAATGTCGAAAAATCATATCTGAGAGTGATTTGAAAACTTCTTTAAGAAATATGTCTTTATTGCGTTCAAATATTGAGTTAGTTTCATCAATATTGATGATTATAAGAGGTAGATCCAAGCTGTTATCTTCATTTGGAAAGTAAGAAAGAATAACATCAAGAATTTCGTTAAGGGCAATAGTATGTCCCTTAAATTTGTCACGAAAATTCTCGTAAGTTGAAATTTCTGTTCTGTAAAGATAAGAAGTGATCAAATCAGTATAATAATGGTCAATAATTATTATGATCAATGTGTAAAATCTTACAATCCAAGCTTATATTTCATTGCCTCATAAAGTAATCTTAATCCAAATACAGCTTCGGGTTCCTCTTTAAGCTCATGCATAGTAAAACTATCACATGCTATGCGGAAAGACCGACCTGCATAAATACAATTTTTTACTGCAACTGCAATTTCAGGTCTTACAACCCCATAATATTTATCTTCATTTTCATAAGCACGTCGAGCAAACGTTGTTTTGCCTTTCCCAGCTGTTCCTACAGCAGCAGCAAAATATAAATTTTTCAAAGGTTCTGCATATTCTCCTGGATTTGTCACAAGCTGGTGTAAGTTGCTCATATTATTCATTAGCTGCACTATTGCATTTTCACGACTCACAAATTTCAAATAGGTTGATATATCTAGAGTGTCATTAGGTATATTTTCAGAGTTGGAGAGTGATTTGCGAGAGTTTCTAACATTATGAACATATTTGTCAAGTATTTCTTTGATTTTAGCAGATGTTAACTCTCTTGTTGACAAATTAACTATAAAAAGAGGGAACAGAATCACACAGTTTGAAAATAATAAAAAGAGAACCAGTCACAAATTAACATTGCAGCAAATGTTCCTCAAATTAAACGAGAAAAACAATTTATTTTACGCAATTGTTCATTAATTACTTCTCTCTCTCCCTCTCTTCTCTTCTCTTAATGTTTTAGCACATTCTTGCAACTGCCCCTCCCAACCATTTCTTCTTTTCTTATACTCTTCTTTTTCTCTTTTCAACTCCTCTATCTTATTTTCCCAATTATTCTTCTGGTTCTCGTTCTTCCATTCCTCATTATCAAACTTTGCTTCCAACTCATATAATCTCTCCTGATGTTTATTCAACATCAAATTCACACTTTTATATTCTTTCATTAAAATTTCGAATTGTTGTTCCAATGTAGCCATTTTAATATGTAATAAAATTTTTTTTTTTGCGCCAATTTTTTTAAATAATAAAAGAGTCGCCAATGAGATAATGAATAACCAAACTAAGAAATAATCTGCAAAAATCGCGACAAACGTAATTAATAACCGTCAATTATTTCACGTGCACAGCATATCGATTGGGCAGAGCAATAAATGCATAGTTCCCAGTTTTTTTTTTTTTTAAAAAAAATCGATAAAAAAATCCTATTGTTAATTTTTCGTGTCAAAGCAATGTCCAAGAAAAATGCGTTAGTTCGATTAACAGCTATTCATAACCATATCAGTAATCAGCCTCAACCAACAGGTCCTGTCGATTTAAAACGAGAACGAGAAAATGCTACGTTTAATATTAAACATATGAATTGGTTATTTTGGGGCGATAAAGAATTTGCTGAAGCCTTAGTAAGTTTATTAAATCGATATATCAATATATATATGCTGAAAATTTGGTTACAGAAATTTGATGAATTTTTTTTTTTTTTTTTTGGTGTAATGTAAAGCAAGTTGCCTTCTTGATTATTCAACGTGATCCGGATCTTTGTTTTCCAGCAGGTCATCATTTTGATTTGACAATACCTGAGCAACGTGAATTGTAAGAAACATATTATATAATTTATTTCATTTTGAAAAATATTTATAGTATATACCTAATAAATTATTATTTATATAGTACTATGAGACAAATCTTTAGGTATAGGCAATTAAAAGGATCATTGAAAAATTCATTAATGCTTAAAGCGTTTGAACTTGCCATGTCGTAAGTCTTCTTTTTCTTTTTATTTTCTTTTTATCTTTTTTTTTGTGTATTGAATTTTTTTCTTTTAAAAATAAAAATGATAGTATGTATTCGGAAAGTTTTCTGATGAAAATTTATGTGCATGATACATTATTTTTACAATCATTCCAGTTGTTTGGTACAAATGAACAAAATGATTCTTATTTAGATGACATTTTAAAATGGAAAGTTATAGGATGTTTTGCTATGGTAAGTTTAGAAACTTTCTAATTTTCTTTTTCTTCATTAATATGTATACGTTTCATAATATTAGACAGAATTGGGACATGGTTCTTTCTTACGTGGATTGGAAACAACTGCGACATATGATAGAGAAACAGATGAATTTATCATTCATTCTCCAACTTTAACTGCCACAAAAGTGTTGGTTATTTTATTATATTTTATTAATTTTCAAAAATATGACCTAAACATTTCATCCCTTTTTTATGTTTAGGTGGATTGGAATGGCGGGGCAAACTGCAACACATACAATAGCACTATGTCAAACAATAGTTAATGGTAAGATGTATGGAGTAAATTGGTTCATAGTACAATTACGAGATCAAAAAAATGGAAGATTATTGCCGGGAGTAACAGCAGGAGATATAGGGGCAAAATATGGAAGAAATGGATTGGACAATGGATGGATACAGTTTTCGCATGTACGTATTCCAAGAACAAATATGTTGATGAAGTGGGCTAAAGTTACTCAAGAAGGAAAATATATTCCTTCAGCGAATCCTGAGATATCTTATTCTCCATTAATTGGAGAAAGACTTACAGTATTATCGGAATCTGTTAATATTTTTGGACAATTTCTTACCATCGCCTGTAGGTATGGATGTGTTAGAAGACAAGGAGCTAATGACGAACAAATTATGGATTATCAATCTCATTACGTTAGGCTGATGCCTTGCGTTGCTAGTACTTACGTCATAGAAATTGTTAATAGGTAATCAAACAAGTAGCCACAATAATTTCTTTGTTATTATTATTATAAAGTTAATTATATGAAGTGATATATAATATTTGTTTAGGATGATTATGAATAAATGGCTTGGAATTATGAAATTAGCACAAACAAATCAAGAAGAATTTGCTTCACATTTACCTGATATGCATGCAATATCAACGGGATTGAAGGCGACTATATCGTGGTGGGGGTGTGAAGTTTTAGAAAGAGTTCGTAGATCTTTGGGAGGTCACGCCTATTCTTCTTATAATGCTATCGGTGGAGCTATTGGAGATTGGGGTGTCATTACTACAGGTAAGGTCAGAATGGTGAACATCATGCATATAACATTCAGTTCATTTATTGATCTATTTATTTATAGGCGGAGGAGATAATTATGTTCTTCTACAACAAACTGCGGTATTTATGATTGGTTGAATTTTTATAGAGAATGATAATCAACATGTACTCAAAAGTTTTTTTTTCGATATTATTGTAGAGATATCTTTTGGGTTGTTTTAGAAAAGTTTCTCAGGACAGCGAAATTATTGGTTCCGCAGAATTTTTGAATAATTTTCAACAAATACTTTCATCTACAAAAAGTACTTTGTCTGATGAAAGTCAATTATTGAATCTAAACTACACATTGGAGATGTACACTTGGCTTTGTTTTAAAATGGTAACTTTTTAAAGACTATCTTTTTTTTTTAAAAAAAAAAATAATAAATAAATAAATAAAATTGATCTAAAAAAAAAAAATTTTTAGATTGAAACGGTTGCAACCAATATAGCTTCATCAACGACAGATGAAGAGACCACATGGAATAATAATCAAGTTGATGCGGTTAAATTAGGAGAGTTATATTCATATAGATTTACCTTATCAGAATACATGAAAGCCATTGAAGAATATTCAAAATCAACAACCAGCGAATTTAAAGCATTAGTACCCATATTGATCAAATTAGGAAATCTATGGGCCATACATTTAATTCATGACTCGTTGGGATTGTTTTTGGAAAGAGGATATTTCAATGGAGAACAAGTTCAAATGATAAAGAAATGTTATTTGGAATTGTGTAAGGAGATAAGGAAGGAGTGTATACCTCTTGTTGACTCCTGGGGATTCCCTGACTTTATTCTGAAAGCTCCTCTTGGAAAGTTTGATGGTGATGTTTATCCAGGTATTAACCAATCGTGTATATACTTTTGGATGCATTTATACAATTAATTTTTTTTTTTCATTTGTTATTAATTTTTCATTTGTTATTTTTTTCCTTTGCTCTTAATAGCTTACTTTAATATCATGAGAGCAGCACCTGATTGTATTGGAGTGCCTAGTTATTGGGAAAAATATATTAAACCATTGACTAATTCCGAATAATAGATAGGAGGAAGGTGTTTCAAATTAATTAAGATGATGTTTATTGGTTACATTATTTTTAAATTATTGGTTAATCTAATTATTCTAAAGATTTATTGGGTGCGTGTATTTCTAGCTTATTAACCTTGTATAGAAACGCAAGGATTATTTAAACAAAATGTTAAGATAAACTTTTGTATAATTCTATCAATAAAATTTTTTATATTAAACGATAATACAGCAAAAAAATTGTAAAGTCTAGTACTACAAGGTTATCATAGTAAAATTATACACGCTATGCTATTGGCAACAATCATTCAAATGTGCTTGCTGTATGAAAAAGGAAAAAAAAGAACCACCTCCCATTAATACTCTTTATCTAATCATATGAGCAGTACCATTTGCCACCAAGATCAGCTCTTCAATCCAATCAACGCTCGAATCATCCAAAAGTTGACGTAAGTTATCACTATATTTAATAATCTCCCAATGTTCTTTGACGTACTTTAATCCTTTCGTTCTCAAGAGTAAATCATTAAATTGCCAGCCCAAGGATAATATTTCATGCCAATTATCATCATTGACCAACTTTACAATGAGCTTAGAAATCATCCCACTCAAAGTAATCAATCCCATCAAATCAGATTGTTTGTAAGAATCCCTCAATAACTCATAGGAATTCACTTCATTGAGATTCTTCAATTTTCCCGTGTAAATGTAAAATAAAATGATATGGTAGACCTCATAATTTATATCACGAATGGGAATTACATCAAGGGTTGCCTCTTTAAATCCACCTTGAAGCATCACTTTAAAATAGCTGCATCGGGTGGCCAATACGATTCGATGGGCTTTCAACGTTGAACCGCAATCAAATAAGAATTCTACATCAGCGAATGACTCATTCTTAAAATATTCTTCAATATCATAAATCTCTTCAATGTCACATTCATCTTGCTGTTGTTGATTATTAATGGTATCTTCATCCAATAATAACAATATGTCTGATCGGGAGGAATCATCACTAAGCACGGTCACTTGCACGAACAAATCGATTTCATTTGATTTATCACCACTGGGAAATAATAAATCCAATGAACAAAATTTAGGAAAACCACAAGTAATATTTTCCTTATCGAATTCAAAGGTATACTCAAAAATTTGTTGTTTAATGATTTGTTTTCTTGTCGGGACGTGAATTATGTTATAATTACTTATTATCGTCGTTGGACCCAACTTTCCTATTTCCAATAGGAACTGTTGTCGTCTTGAAGTGATATTACTTAACTTTTCGAATGGTGTTTGGATCGCTTTTAAGAAGAGCGAGATATAATTTTCGTGACTAACGTTTCCATTTGGGTACATACGAAATTGCCAAAAGTTGTGTGATGTTGGATTATCTCCCGGTGAGAATGATAATGCGGATGTTGACGCATTGGGAGTCGCTTGTGACGCGTTCAAAATATTATCATTTGTAATGGTGAAGTTTGGTTGGTTGTTGCTTTGGGTGTAGTTGTTTTTAATGATATTTGGGTTGGCACTTGGGCGATCAGAGATATCACAAGTTGGTAACCAGAATTTTGGAGAATAAATTCTATTTTGATGAGTAATTGTTTTAACATATTCTTGAAAACTGCCAAGTTCCCATATAAAGGTGTTCGATACGGGATGAGGGTTCATATTATAATTATACACGAAAAACGAAATATTTTTCGAGCGAAAAAGGAGTGAAGATCAATTGAAGAGCGAGAAAACCATCTAAATAAATTTGATACGATGACGTCAATATCACGTTACTTGAATTTGTTTATTTCCCTTTTTATTTTATTCCCTGTTTTTTAAAAAATTTTTCACAAAAAAAAAAAAAAAAAGTGTACATATAGGTATAAATAATGTTGAAATTACTATCAAATTAATTCGAAGTTTCGTTACCTTCACCCACCCTCCCTTCCCTCCAAGAATCGTCCAAGCACCATAGATTAGAATAACCACCACCATTTGATGACCCCTTATTTTTTGGAAGGGATCACTATGGTGTGGACGTAATTTGGATATAATTTTTTGCTAAACTTTATCCCACTTGACATGTAAAGTCCTATACCAAGTTCTTCAATGACATCAAAATGATCTTTGGATAGAGTTTTCATGGAAGAATTTCTCGGGGTCAAAGGATTAGAGAATTGTTGATCCAACGTTTGTTGAGGTTCTTTATGAATGATTTTTAATAACCTTAAACTTTTTGAAGCCTCCAAGAAGACCTTCAACGAAGTAGCAGAGAACACCCAAGGATTTTGTAAATACATTTTAATTTCCAAAGTCTCCAGAGTGATGGGAACGTATTTGCTCATTTGAATTAACGTATTATTCTCATTATTACCCCTCTCACCTTCAAAAGTGAAATGTTTTAACCTCGTGCAAGAGTTGAAAATTTTCAAGATGATTTTATGACTTAGAGGAAGAGTCGATAAATTTAAGATTTCTACGTTCAAACAATTGTAAGTGATGGCGCAGATAACTTTTACCGTGTGATAGGATAATTTAATTTTTCTTAATCTTGTATTCGCGGTTTGAAATATCCCTACGAGTAACTCTTCAGGAAAGATGTCATCATCCCTATGACAATAATAAAATTCTTCCAACTTTTGAAAATTATCTATTGAACGAAATTGTTGATTTTCCAAGAATTTACATTGATAAATTGATAAGAATCTTAAATATTTACAATCGATTAACCTTTCTAAAGTTTTACCATCAGCGTATCGAAAGGAGAAATTAACCAATTCCAACTTTTGTATAGAATGACTTTGTTTTAAAATCGAATTAAATAAGGGGGTGCAATAATCATTTGATATAATACTTCCCACGATGATTTCTTGCACTTCTATTTTCAATTGTTTTAAATTATTCTGTAAAGAGATTAAGCTAGCCAAAGAATCCACATCATAATAAGCATCGATATAAATTTTAATCACTTGTATGTTTTTACAAATTTGGAGGATAGATTTATAAAAAGTCTCACTAAAATTCCAATAACAATAAAGTTCTTTTAATCCTTTCAGACATCTACTCGCCCCATCATAACGAGTGATGTATGGTATCTCCCCGATGATACCATCCAATCTGATGGTATCAGGTATGATGATACGTTTCATGGATCGACTCCTCTTCATGAACAATTTACATAATTCTTGAAATAATAATCTTTCCTTTGCCGATATGAAATCATCAAAATTCCTGTTATTTATTTTTGACAAGTATGATTCGATTAATACCGCTAAATGATGATAATTAATGGAGTTTAAATAAGTCGCATAATTAAAGGACGTCCAAGGCGGTGATGATAATAAATCCATTCCATGGTGAGTCAAGAAGATTCTCGATTCCTCATCAGCGTTTGATAAGTAAGTTCTTATGCATTTATACGAATTGTATTTATCTGGCGAATAATCCAGCGTTAATTCCCATAGTAATGGTACCGACACTTTACACCATTCTCTGTTAACCATTAACGCAGAAAATAAATAATTTGGATTTCTAACATCTTGAAGATGTGTGACGATTTTTTGTATGACCTCGATTGGGAAGTTCGTCATTGTCTTTGATGAAAAAAAAAAAAAAAAAAATCGCTTTGGAGGAAGATTATCCTATCCTTAATTTTTTTTAAAGGAATTTTTCTTTAAAATTTTTTTTTAAAAATAAAAAAAAAAAAAGGAGGGGGCTTTTATTTCAAAAGGGAGAAAGGCTCAAATTCTCACGGATAAATAAAAACAAAAAACTAATTTATGCAACCAAAAATCGGCTTGGTTTATTATTTTTTTTTTTTATAAGAAAAAAAATACTTGTATTATGCTTGCTATAAAGAGATTAATTGCCATTAGCATTCCATTGACGAATTAGTTGTCGAGTTCTGATCACGATTTTTTTATGATTCTTAATATTTATTATTTTAAGTCTGGATGTTTCAAAAAGAATTGGTCTCGTCCAATTAAATATAGTCTATTTCGCACGTTAATCGCGATTTTACTATCGGATAAACAATAAAAAAACAAAGAAATTTGATATTTGGTTATATTAAATAAATGATATATATACCAGTAAGCTCTTTTCGGACCATTTTTTCAATTGATACATCCTTATTTTTTTGTGAAAAAAATGAAATCCTTCCATTGGCAGCGTATGCGCAGACGCATGGTGCTTGTACTTTTTTTTTTTATACCTGAAGTGAGAGGGGGAACCAAGAGAAAGTAACACAATTTAATTCATATGCGATCAAAATATAAAATAAATATTTTTATTACATGACTCGTTTTTTTTTTTTTTTTTTTTTTGGTTTTGAAAGTAATTTGAAATTCGAGTTTCTAGATTTCCGAGTCGAATTCTTTTGAAATCTTACTGGTGCGAACAAAACTTTGTGCTATAGTTCGTTATTGTTTTTCAATCTCCTTTTTCGATCATAGGCTCAGCTAAGAATGATGTTAACAAACAAGGGAAATTGATTAACAAACGTGAATTCTTTATTATATTATATAATATTTGTGTTATATGCGGTGTTCCCGAAGATCCAAAGGGTGGCGTTCACGTGCTATAGACTCTCGTTTCTTTTGTGCGTTCACTGATCTCTTGCGATTTAAAGGGTAAAATGTATCTTTCATTTTATTTAACGTGAAAAAAGATTTTTCTTGTTGTCTTTTAAAAAGTATTTTTTTTTTTGGTCTCTTATTTAGGGTGAAAAATAACCTGGTCAATCAAAAAGCGAAACCTACCTAACCCTAATAAAAAATAAAATAATTTTTTTCCTATGTTAGCATAATATAATGATTCTTCGATTTTTTAATAATGAATAAGATAAAATATAATGATCGGTAAAAGTCTATTGAGTTACTGAGAATTTCGTAATCCCACGTAATGGGGGAAAAAAAACTCATATAAAAAAGGTAACTTTCCAAAGTTATCGTTTGGTCTTTGGACAAGCAAGCCAAACACATTCTTTTTTTCACGCAAAATCCGCAAAATCTTTCCAACCTCTTCAAATAATGCCTCGTAAGAGAAAAAATCATCAAGAGGTTCGTACTTTCAAAAAGTTCAAGACCGATGCCAACTGTCAACCAGTATTGAAGGTTGCGGGACCGAACCTTCCATTAAAACATTTTTTTACGGGAAATGGTATCCGTGACAATTGTAGGTGAATGAATTTAAAAAAATAAATGCTATGTTATATATATATATATATTTTGATAACCTTGTCCATATTTCATTGTTAGGCTTGAAATTATTTTATCAATCGTTGTTGGAAGCATGTGAAGATAAGAACGACGAAGAAACGCAACACAAGATGGCAATACTAGCAAAGAAAATAGAAGAGCGCATCTTCATTCACACCGGATCCAAACCTTTGGATACAAAGTACAAGTCATGCTCCAGAAGTAAATTGTGGAATTTGCGAGACAAGAATAACCCAGAATTCGTGGGTAATGTCATTAGAGGGGTGATCAAAGCGGAGGATGTTTGTAGATTGTCAGGAGATGAGATGCTCAGTCGGGAAAGGTTGAATCAAAAGCAATTTGAATTTAAGAAGATCGTTGAAAGGTCCATAAGGCATGAGTCGGAATTGGTGCCGATGAAGTTGGAGGCGGATGGTTCATTAGGTTCTTGCATGTCTGGTGGTAGTGGAGGGACTGTTTGGGTTTCTCGTGACATGGTCAACAAGCCTGATGGCTTGTATGGTTGATGATGATTAATGGTGTCATTTCACTTTTTTTTTTGGTACCTTTTGTATATAAATAAATAATTGCGATTTGTGTAATGTGATATGTAGCGGTAATACAAATAAATAAATATAGCTAAAATCATTATTAGATCATTTTTATTTTTTGGGGACATTTACAGTAAATTGCTTTGGTGTTGACTGTCAAAGATATTTGTAATATCGGATAGTGATTACTCTCCATTAATTTTTTACCATTAGTAACATACATTGTTGGGAAAAATTAAGCACATAAAATCTTTTTAGACTCTCGCTTCGTCCTGTAATAACATGATTGATTAGATTTTGCTGTTTCGTAAAAAAGTTTACTTAACCGACGCGTCAAATATCATAGAAATGCTTAAAGATTCGGTTATTTATATAAAATGCTGTATGGTATATAATATCGAAATATCTGACTGATAAATAATCAACATAAATAAATATAAAACAAGAATTTTAAATTGTTTCTAAAATAGGGTAGTACGTAAATAATTGATATTTTACAATTAATATTTTTTTTTTATTGTGTCTCGGGAATTCGCAACCTGATCACAACCTGATTTACCTGATATAACCTGGTTTATTTTATTTATATTTTTATATATGGAAATATTTGCACAAAAAGTGTAATATATTTTTACAATAAATGTACCTTCTCTCCGTATCGTCAAGTCAAATATGGAAAACAAATAAAGAAGTATCAATTTTGCTACTATGACTCCTGAATTAACCCAAATTAGATATTTTTTATTTGGTCAACCATACCCATTTGATACTTCAAGGGACCAAGTTTCATGAGAAAAACAAAACATTTCGATTCACTAAAGGCACAATCCTTTTCTTGTACATAAATTAATCTTTTAGATTATATCAATTTTTTTTTTTTTTTTTAAAAAAAAGAAATAACTTTAAAGAAAATGGTTTCGGTAAATAAAAAATTTTTTTTCCATTGTATGCCTTCTAAACTTGTGTAATTAAACTTTGAAAGAAAAATCGAAAATATCGCAACATCTTATTAATTTATTATGTTTGTTTTTTATATGGTGTGTGTCTATTAACGAAGCCCAATATGGGTTCCTAGAATTTTATGTTAAATAATTGTTAAAAGAATTAATGTTTTAGGTCGTCTAATCAAACAGGAATGAATAAATGAAACAAAGGATATGGTTACTGCGGAAAAAATATTCTGCAAATATTTATTGTTTCCAATTAAGGTATGATGAAACCTAAAAATCGAAATTTCGTGTTTTTCCATCAATATACAAAATTCTGTTGCATACAATAAATTATCTGAGAATTCTTTGTATTATGATACAAGGATACTTGATCAACATATGTTTCCAAGCACGTTTTTCCCGAAAAAGTTTGACCTACATTATGATAACTCTGCCCGTAGTTTTCAGGAAAACGTGCATTCGGGATAATGTCGGACATCGGTTTCCAAGCATTTATAAAAAGACTCAAAATTTTGCAATGTTAAGCATTTATTCCTTTCCTTTTTATTTATTCAACAATGTCTGCAAACCACAAAATCCATTATCACGAAAAAGATGGTGATATTTTTCTTAAGGCCGAAAATACAATATTTCTAATTCATAAAACATTTCTTTCATTATCTTCAGAATTCTTTAAAGATTTATTTAAACTCGCAAAACCTTCTTCTAATGAAAATGTAAACATTATTGACGGGACTACAATCGAGATGAATGGTGAAACTTCTGAATCAATCGAAAGAATGTTATCATTCATTTATCCGAATACTTTTGTTGAAATAACTTGGGATAATGTTGAAGATTTGTTACGAATTTCGAACAAATTCATTATCAGTAAACTTACAAAAAGTTGTTCCGTATTTCTCTTACACCATTTTCAGGAAAATTTTCTATTGTCATTTACTTTGGCTGATAAATACTCGTTTCCTAAAGTATTCAAAGAATCTTCTAAACTTTTATTAGATGATTTTCAAAAATATCGTTCAGATCCCACCTATGATGAATTATCTCAAAGAGCTAAACTTAAACTAACGGATGCTTGGTATCATTATACAAACTCTTTACATATATACTTTGGAAAGAACAGTAAAAGTTCGGCAAGAATATCAGATAAAGTAATCACATTTAGTGAATTTTTACTTTCTGAATCTCTCAATTTTTTTTTGAAACCCTCAAAGTTCTCGAAATTTTATAGAGATTGGAAACTTAAATTACCTACCTACCGGAATTCGATAACAATCGAAGAATTATTTAAAAATTACGAAACATTGGAATTTCAATCAATTCAATTAAACGAAGCTAACAAAAGTAATAAAACTCAATACATTTTCATTGAATTGGAAAATTAATTTAAAATTTTTTTAAAAACTAGTGTGAAATTTTTGGAAAGGGTATATTATTATCATATGACATTTTTCAGATGCCTTATTATTATTATTATTATTATTATTATTATTTTTTATTTTTTAAAAATGTAAAATTTTTTGTTTCTATATATTATCCTTAAGCACTTACAATGTAGTTCAAAATAAAATGGAACACTATTTATAAATATTTTTTATATATTTTTTCTATAACCAATGCTAAGAATTATTTGAGTAAATTCTGTAAACAAACCGCTGTTATCAACTAAGTCTTGACTAACCAAATTATGTACTATTGCTTTGAACTGTATCTAAATCCTTCATTTTTGCTTTTGCTTTTTTAATTGGTGGTGAAAACGATAGCAAAAAAGTTCAACAAATAAAGTTTATGTAAGGCGACGAAATACTTTAATAATTCAATTATATACTGTATATGCTTTATATAATTCTATGAAAACGGAATACAATGGTGAAAGGTTTATCTTGTAATTGCAGGTACAATAAGGCAGTAGAACGAGTATTTCTGGCAGAACTAATCTAGTATAGCTAAAAGGTGTAGTATAGCATAATAATCCGTACATGTTCAGTACTGTGCGCAATATACATGTACAACGCCGAACGCGTCTTTCAAAAAAAGAAAAAGGCGATAATCTAACAATGAAATTCGTGTAACATCATCATCTCAATTTTGTTCCATAAAATTTTTATTTCTTTCTTGATGTGCCAGGTAACCCTTTTCAGGATTTGGCATTCTAACTAGGTCATAATAACGAAGCTATGACTGTTGCAATGTCTGAAAGTCACAAAATCCATTATTATGAAAATGGTGGAGATATTTTCCTTAAGGCTGAAGATACAATATTTCTGCTTCATAAATCAATTCTTTCATTAGCTTCAGAATTCTTTGAAGATTTATTTAAACTCTCAAAACCTTCTTCTAATGAAAATGTAAATATTATTGAAGGGACACATCAATCATCAAATACTTTTGCTACAATCGAGATGAATGGTGAAACTTCTGAATCAATCGAAAGAATGTTATCATTCATTTATCCAAATACTTTTATTGAAATAACTTGGGATAATGTTAAAGATTTTTTACGAATTTCGGACAAATTCATTATTAGTAAGCTAACAAAAAGCTGTTCTGTATTTCTTTTACAACATTGTCAAGAAGAAGTTTTATTGTCATTTACGTTAGCTGAGAGATACAATCTTGGTACTTTATTCAAGGAATCTTCTAAACTTTTATTAGATGATTTACAAAAATATCGTTCAGAACCTATTTATGATGAATTGTCTGAAAGAACTAAGCTTAAATTAATGGATACTTGGTTTCATTATACAAATTCTTTACATAAATACTTTGAAATTGTTAGCAAAAGATCGACAAACAATTCATTTGGAGAATTTCTAAATTCTGAATCTCCCAAATTTTTTTTTGAAACCCTCAAAGTTCTCTAAATTTTTTAAAGATTGTGAATCTAAATTTTATAGCTGGCATTCAATAAAAATCGAAGAATTATTAAAAAATTACGAAAAGTTGAAATTTCAACCAATTCAATTAAACGAAGCTAACGAAAGTAGTAAAAATCAATACATTTTCATTGAATTGGAAAATTAATAAAACCTAGTGTGAAATTTTTGAAAAGGGTATATTATTATCATGTCATTTTTCAGATTCAATTATTATTATTATTATTATTATTATTATTATTTTTAATAAATTACATTTATTTTAATAAAAATGTAAAATTTTTGTTTCTATATATAATCCTTAAACACTTTGCCATATAGTTCAAAATAAATTGGAACACTATTTATAAATATATTTTTTTTTATTAACAAATGCTGATTTATTTGAGTCGATTCTGTAAACAAACCGCTGTTATCAACTAAGTCTTGACTATGTCCTTCATTGCTTTTTTTAAATGGTGGATAAAAACGAGAGCAAAAAAGTTCAACAAATGAAGTATATGTAACGCGACTAAATTCAATTAATATACTGTTTAAAGTTGTAAAGTATCCACACCTGACAGTGGTGAAAGAATCATCTTGCAATTGCAGGTAAAATGTTTAACTATTTGTAAATTTTATCATTGATTTTTATAAAGCAATTTGTGCATGTAAAGCACACTGTGCATGACAAAAGTATTTGGAATAAAGTTCGACGAAAAAAACATCTTTCCTCGCGATATACATCGACGAATGCATCTCCAAAAAATGGTAGTCACCAAGTCACACGCGACTTCGGATTTTCGTGTAAAAGCGTGATTTTTTTTGATTAGCAATAAAGAAAGGAATGTGTATATGGGAGGAAGGGAAAATTCCGACGAAAAATTTTTCGTCGGAATTTTCTCTTCCTCTCATACACACGCCAAAGAACTATACCAATTTTGTTTAACCTTATACATGTATGTAGAAAGTTTAACTAACCAACAAATTCAATTTTGATAAGTTTATTTACTAAAACATTCCGACATTCTTATAGCATATGCTTTATGCTTTCCATATAAATGAAGGTTTAAAATTTTTTCTCATACTACATTTAGCTTAGAAATGATAAAAGGCGTCGATCATCGCTTCGAGCCGCAAAAAAATCTGTGTAAAAAATCATTAGGTGAGTCTTATTAATATTATTTTTTTTTTACTTTTCCGTTTTACAATGAGCTAGCTGTAAACAGAATTATCTCCCCAGAACCCTAGAATTCTTCCCGTATAATGTTATAAAAACCTCAAAAATTTTTATTTCCAGTTAATCCTTTTCTGTATTTGTCAACGTAATTATTCTAACGAGGCTATGGAAGATTTTAATAACGATGCTATGACTGTTGAACACCACAAAATCCATTATTATGAAAATGGTGGAAATATTTTCATTAAGGCCGAAAATACAATATTTCTTCTACATAAATCAATTCTTTCATTATCTTCAGAATTCTTTGAAGATTTATTTAAACTCTCAAAACCTTCAACTAATGAAAATGTAAACATTATTGAAGGGACACAACAATCATCAAATACATTTCCTACAATTGAGATCAATGGTGAAACTTCTGAATCAATTGAAAGAATGTTATCATTTATTTATCCAAATACTTTTGTTGAAATAACTTGGGATAATGTTAAAGATTTTTTACGAATTTCGGACAAATTCATTATTAATAAACTTTTAAAAAGTTGTTCCGGATTTCTTTTACAACATTATCAAGAAAATATTTTATTATCATTTACTTTAGCTGAGAGATACAATCTTGGTACTGTCTTCAAGGAATCTTCTAAACTTTTATTAGATGATTTACAAAAATATCGTTCAGAACCTATTTACGATGAATTATCTTTAAGAACAAAACTTAAACTAATGGATGCTTGGTATCATTATACAAATTCTTTACATAAATACTTTAAAATTGTTAGTAAAAGAGCGCCAAAACAATTTAGAGAGTTTCTACATTATGAATCTCCAAATTTTTTTTTGAAACCCTCAAAGTTCTCTAAATTTTATAACGATTGTGAAATCAGATTTTCACGTGTTCATTACGAAAAAACAATACCAACTATTGAAGAATTATTAAAAGATTACGAAGAATTGGAATTTCAACCAATTCAACTAGACAAAGATAACAAAGATAACGAACATAATTCATATTTCTTCAGAATTAAACCTGAAATTCGAAGATACATTTTCATTGAATTGAAAAATTAATTTAAAGATTTTTTCTTTTTTAAAAGCTAGTGTGAAATTTTTTGATTCTATCTAATATCATGTCATGTCATTTTTTCAGATGCCATCCCTGATATATTTAGACATTAAAATTACCTTTTTTGTAAGAGAATTCCTAATATCGACTTTTTTTTTTTTCTTTTAATAAATAAATTTACAAATTATTCATTAAAAAAAAAAAAAAAATATTGTTGGAATTACGAAAGTATAAAATTTTTGTTTCTATATATATCATCAAACACTTTGCAAATATAGTTCCAAATAAATGGAACACTATACATAAATATATTTTATACACAGTAAATTTTTTATGAACAATTTGATAAAATCATTTGAGTCGACTCTGTAAACAAGCCTCTGTTATCAACTAAGTCTTGACTAACCAAGTTTTGCACCATTGCTTTGAACTGGTCTGCTAAATTTATAAATCCTTAATTTTTGATTTTTTGCTCGTTTTAAATGGTAATGAAAACGATAGCAAAAAAGCTCAACAAATGAAGTATATGTAAAGTCGACGAAATTCATTTAATATCTGTGTAAACTATCCACATCTAGCGACAATGGTGAGAGTTTTATTTTGTAATTGCCGGTAAAATGTTTAACTATCTGTAAAATATTAAGAACAAGTATCTTCTAAATGATGTGGTCTTAAAATAAATGCAAATCATGCATGTAAGTACTGTGCATGATAAAAGTAATTGGAATAAAAATTTCAAAAGAATAATCTTACTCGCAATATACTTCGACGAATGCGTCTCTCGGAAAAAAAATGCTAATCACCGTCACACGCGACTTCGCATTTTCGTGTAAAAGCGTGATTTTTTTTTTGATTAGCATTAAAGAAAGGCCTGCCGAAGAACTAGTACCCAATTTTTTGGTCTAACCTTATTTATGTAGAGTTTAACTTTATTGAACTAACCAATTTTTTGGCTTTATGATTTTCATATGAATAAAGATTTAATTTATTTATTTTTGCTTACATAATGAAAAATAAGCTAATTAGCCGTTTTTACAATTGACCTAATTTTTCCGTGACAAAATCCATTTGGTTTCTACATGCTGAACCACCCAATCTTTTTTTGAAACCCTCAAAGTTCTCTAAATTTCATTCGGGAAAACCACCAAAAATTGAAGAGTATTTTAAAATTTATTAACAATTGGAATTACAACCATTAAAGATCAAAATTACATTTTTATTGAAGTTTAAAATTTATTTAGTATGGAAAAGTTCTGGTTGGATAAATTCGATGTTAACATTCTGTTCCAACGGAAACGTTTGCATATATTTTTTGCGCGTAAATATCGAAAACTAAGTGACTTCGCTGAATTTATGGTTAAATTTCTAATGGACGAAACCAACACAACGTTCTAAGTAATAAAAAAAAAAGAGAGGTGGTGGAGGGTCAGACCAGATTCAATCAAAAAGAGAGTCTGACATCCCAACAGATGCCATAGGAATAGTATTATCCTGCTAAGGCTTACTCTCGTGCTTCAGAGAAATTGGGCACATAGGAATACACAGTCTCA